GATATCTTTCCTTTGTATTTTACTATTTGATGACGGTCAGTTAAATATGATTCAAGCCACTTGAGGAGTGCGTAATGAATTCCGATTTTTTGAAGTTTAAAAAGAAGCATGGGTATGTCAATTCGATCAAACGCTTTGCTGAAATCTGTATACAACACTTCTACATGGTTTCCGTTATCCATTGCATTCAAGGAATAATTAATTAATTCGAGCAAATTCGTAGTTGTTGAACGGCCTTTAAAGAAGCCATGTTGCATAGTAGTAATTCTGTTTTTAATTTGAAGAAAGAGTTTTTCATTTACAATCGCCTCGAAAAGTTTCGGAATGCAAGAGATAATAGCTATACCACGATAATTACGTATGTCGGATTTTTTACCCGATTTAAAGATAGGCACTAAAAACGAGTTTTTCCATATTTTAGGGAAGTTTCCGGATTCCAGTGACATATTGAAAATCCAAAATAATGGAGCAGTAAGTTCAATTGCTAAAGTTTTCATAACAACTGGCGGAACACCGTCAGGGCCAGGACCTTTAGATGCATCTAAATTGTTAAAACCCTTTAAGATATCATGAACCTTGATTTGACTTACGCTGATGTCACTTGAAAATTCTGGATAAGATTCAAAATATTCACGGTCACGGTCCTCTTCTAAAAACGTAGTATAGATTTCTTGGAAGAAATTTGCAAACAAATTGCATATATCATCCGAGTTCTCACCTATCCTATCGTCCAAATGCATCTTTGAGGGAAGATTATCAGATTTTAATTTGGTTTTCACATAATTGAAGAAGTTTTTAGGACAAGATTTTATTTCAAGTTCAGTTTTTAAGTTATACTCCTCAAATGCCATATTCGAGGCCAAATTTAACTGATCGCAAATGTCTAAATAGTATGCCAAAGTTTCTTCACTATTATATTTTTTATAAAATTTGTGCGCTTTTTGCTTTCGGTTTTTTAAATTTTTCAGTTCTCTGTTGTACCAAACTGGATGTTTTGTATGACTCTGACGTCTTCTTCTTTTAGTTGTCACTTCTTCAAGTATTATTTCAAGCAACACATTGTAGAATACGTAAACTTCACATTCAACATTTCCTGCAGTTCTTAATATTGCTTGCCAATCGACAATGTTCAATCTATTTCTAATGTTATCATAATTTGCTGAATTGTAATCAAAGATTTCATCAAATTCGCAGTCGTTGGTTCTTTCATTTATGTGAACGAATAGAGAATATTCTATTGCTGTGTGAAACATTTCATTTCTCCATATGGGACTTAACGATTCAGTCACACAGAAATGTTCACAAGTATTTGTTAAAGTTTTTTTTTTTTCTTTATTTGAGAGATTTTTAGTCATAGGCTAGTTCATCTCTTTTGTTAATTAAAGGTCTAAATAACAATTTTGTTAATTTTTCACATGGTTTATTTGATTGAGTCCTAAATTTGCAATTTTGTCAAAAATAAAATGGAGTGTTTCATTTTCCCCAACGACTGGAAGTAAGATGCTTTCATTGTCCATATCAGAAATAAAGTCAACATTGCGGTGGTTAAAGTCCCCATATATATGAACTTTTACTTCAGGGGGTAAACTAGACAAAATTTCTTCCGCTTTTCCAAAAAACTTATCATACGTGTCCTTATGAGCATTGTTTGGAGGAAAGTATACCGAAGCAAAGACATGTGTTTTGCCTGCTACTTGCGCTTTTACCCATACACGTTCGAATTCTTTAAATTTAGTAGCCATAATGATTTCTGAATTCAATTGGGTCGAAATCGCTATTAATACTCCACCTCCCGATTTTTTTTTCCAGGCCATTGAAAATTGCGGTCGTCTCTATAAACGTTATAATTGTTACCAAAAACTTCTTCATTTCTCACACTATCATCCCAACTTGTTTCATTAGCCATTATGACAGAGTAAGTAGAACTTAATATATTTTTGTTAATTTCATTCATTTTACCGGCGCTTCTCATGCGGTTAACATTTTGGCAATATACCAAAATTTCTGTAGTGGTCTGAAGATTAGGTGATGAAGTTGATGGTAACCTGTCATTCATAAAACTATTAGTAAAATTATTTACCCCTGATCCATGTTCCGAATTTGTTTCGTTCTGTAAAGTGTCGTGATCTTCGTTATTTTCTTCCTCTATGGAGCGTGTCAGTTTTGTAGAAAACATGAGTGCCTCTCCTTGATGTAGAGAAGTCGTCAAGTCCTGGATAATGTCGGGGTCTGCTGGATCATTGTCTTCCTCCAAGGGGTGTTTCAATTTCGTACAAAACACGAATTCCTGCATACACACGCCTCGCATGATGCAGTTGCAGCCATCCCGTTATGCAAGTGCGCTGGAACGGTACGTTGGTATACATCGCACGCCGGGTAGGGGTTTAAGATTTCCCCTCGTTGGAATTGCATTGTGGGTCGATAGTTAGCCTGCGGCGGTCTGGAAAACCGATCTTTCGCTGCCGCAAGAAGCTCTCGATCAGGTGGCAATAGGTTGTTTCTATTCTGACTAACACTGCTGCGGAAACTGTTACGGTTAGTGTTGTTGTTTCAATGATTGTTAGATATGTTATTGTTGCTGTTGTTGCCAAAATTGTTGTTGTGGTTGTTGTTATTTTTGCTGTTGTTGTTGTTGTTGTTGTTGTTGTTGTTGTTGTTGTTGTTGTTGTTGTTGTTGTTGTTGTTGTTGTTGTTGTTGTTGTTGTTGTTGTTGTTGTTGTTGTTGTTGTTGTTGTGGTTGTTGTTGTGGTTGTTGTTATTGTTGTTTTTGTTGTTGTTGTTGAGCAAGTTTTGTTTCCTTCGCCTTCTAGCCTTTCCAGCTATTTTTTGCTGTATCAAACGGCGTGAATTTCGGGCATCGTACTCGGTCCAGTCTGCCTTCCATACCTTCCTGGTACCAAGTAGACGCCACCCTGAGTCATCGTTGTTGTTATTTAATTCCACCTCCAAGCTGGGGCACGAGTCAGATGGCGATTGCAAAGGTGCAGCGCTCCGTGTTGAGGCTATATTTGCTGACAGTGACTTCAGCTCGTCAAGAATATCGAGTTCCAGCACAGAGTTAGAGCTCATGGTACAACTTGCCGCAATGTCCAGCGACAGCTGGTTCAGTTGATTTATTTCATTACTGATATTTCGGAGCTCGGTGGATATATCTGACGTCACAGTTCTCAATGACGTAGACACACTGTCTTTCGTTGCCATCATAGCTGTATCGAAAAGCGATGTAGTGTGATTTTTGAGGGCAACGACACTGCCAGCTAAGGTGCTGTTTCTGTTAATTGCAGACAGTTCATTTTTTATGCCTACCAGCAGTACCTCCAGGCCTTCGACAGCTTCGTGAACAATTCGAGGATTTTCTTGCTGCATCGCGAAACGATGTGTCACTTCTGTGTTGGCATGCAGTTGCTCCGTTAGAAGTTTTTGTTGAGCCGCTAATTGGTTTAATTCTAACTTTGCTTGTAGATGCTCTTGACACGAGTCGCAGCATGGTAGAAGATAAGAATTAAAATCCCCTACTTTTTTATTGTCCTTCCTGCGTAGTGAATTCCTCTGCACGGTCACTCCTACGCAGGTTGCATGAAATGTGCGTATGCAGCCAGTGCATTTCCACATCAGCGAATCAACGGAAGAGTCAAATGAACAAATTTCACAATTCATATTGAAATGAACGGAACCAACAGCAACAGCTATCGCGCGAAATTACTACAGCGAGAACAATACGTACGCAAAAAAAAAGCACAGAACGCACGTGGCTAGGAACGATTAAAAACGCGTCCAAACCGATTGACGATTGATCGACTAAAAAAAATTCGACCCATCGATGTTGAGGTGTGATGATGTCGGTGTCTTCGCTCGGTTCCACTGGGCCATGGCTGACTTCGAGATTGAGCTCGTTCAATTAGTATGAAGTTATAACAACTCTCTCGACATGGAATGGTAGTGCTACGTTCTGAAGAAAAAAACCACAAAAACTACAAAAGGAACTAAGGAGCTTCCGGAATAGCAGCTTAAACTATCATAGCTCCTAGAACTTCTTGAGCTCCAGTAATCCTGACGAACTATAAGGAACTAAAAATTTACAAGTTTTTCACTGCTACAAAATTGTGGAACCCCCGGCACATTGAGATTTGCTAGATCTTTCAAAACAGTTGGTAATAACTTTGAGAACTCCAATAAATTGTTGTACTCTGAGAAATTATTAAATTATTGTGTCTGAGACGAAAGTCGTGAAGACAGTTTTTGTTTTCTGCTGTTTTTGGTTTTTGACGTAGGACTACCCTAATAAAAAATTACCGTACACGAACGATAACCCAAATTATTGAAATATTCCACAAATGGTTTGGATGATACCCCGAACACGTCGTTAATCAAATTAACCATAAAATTTTTATTAGGGTATTTCTGTTTTTTTCTTTAATCTGTTTTTTTTAATCGTGCATTTCAATAAAATATGATTTCAGATTTCGTTTCAGTGACCCAAAATTGAGTAAAATAAGTAATTTCACCGAACACAGCACCAGAATAAATGCTTATTCTGATTGAAGTTTAGGGACAGTCAAAAGTTGCATATTTTATCACTTCCTCAAAATTTAACATTTGGAGTGGTAGAATGCATCGTTTGTTAGGGGAAAATCAATGAAATACTCAACAAATTATCTCATAACAATATAATGAAAAATACTTGTTGAGAAACGAAAATTTAACGGTGTAGTGATCAACTTCGCCCCGTTTTCCGGTACGTAAATCTGTAAGCAGTAAGAGGCAAAACAGCAAGTTTGACTTTTTCAGCTTTCCACAAATTTCAATAATTGAAAACCTTAACTAACTTACCTTAACCTTAAAACTAAGAAATATATTAAATAGGGTTTGAGATTTTTAAGTGTAGGGTATAATCAAATTTACACATTCGGAACCACACGCACTGTATCTTTTAGATAAAACTGCATTCCCCGGTTGAGTGGAGGTGGGACGTGATATAAAAGCTATTAAGGTAGATCGAGTTGACAAAAACATGCACATTTTTTATTGCTGATCTATAAAACAAATAAAGTCAACAGAACCACAGGGGGGCGGGGAAGACTGTGTAAGCTTTCTAATAATTTGAAGAATCAGAACAAAGGTTGTACGGACCTATATGTATTACACCGGTAAAATTAATCGAATTAAATAATCTATAGGTAAAATAGAGTAAACGCTAGCTGCCTAACAGTACGGTGTCTAATTTCGTCAATGTTGTCCAAAACGACAGAATGGTTTATATATTCTGTTCAGAGTGAATTCAGGGCGGTGTGGGGGGTGAACACTTGAACCGGTTTAATACTAAAGGGTGCGAAAGCTAATGTTAGCAATAATATGGTTTCATTGAACACTCTTTCCATTGTCAAAATATTAGGACAAGCTGTTCGTTTGTGTTTAGGTTTGTTATACACTTACTATTCTATGATGAATTTTTACTATATATATTAGAAATTTCTACATATTTTCTGTACAAGGATAATATAAAAGATTGAATTTAAAGTGAAACTAATGTACAGGAAGGTTTGGTAAAGTTATAAATTGTTTCGCGTGCACAAATAACTGGTGGGAGCAAATAGGAAGCTGCTGGGTATTGTACAGGATGTAAAATTAGGTGTTTGCGTCAATTGTCAATTGCAATGCAACTGGAAAGCAGTGCTTCATTTTGGCGTGGGTGACATCCAATCAAGCTAATCCAATTAGTCGTGTGAATAATAATAATGATTTTCAGATGCGCGTTTGGTTATTGTTCGATTTTAGCAAAGCTTTAGATTTCCAATTCGAATCGATGTATCTGTTCAACGTCCTTCTCATCCAAGGGAGGGGGCGAACACATCTTAATTGCTGGCTTAAGCTCGATTAGGCTGTCGGTATCATTATTATTATTATTTTTGCTGGTGCTGCTTATGCTGCTGCCCTGCGATGCATTGTTGGTTGCGGTTTTGGTGATGGCGGCGACGACAGAGGTGCAAAGTATGGGATTTTTTCCGTTAACAATGGCAGAAGAAACTGCTGGTGAGGAGAAGCTGGTGCTGCTGGTGGATCGTCCACTACTCAGGAGGTGCATATTCAGGTGTTTGGAGTTTAGAACTTTGGTTCGGTTATTACTGCTCGTAAGGTTTAGCGAATCGAGGCCGGTCGATGTGGAAATGGGAAAAACTGGAGATACGCCTAGTTTGGCTCCTGTAAGAAGATGGAAATTTATTAATTGGACTCGAATGTACGAATATACGATTAGACACATAAACAAGCCCCATGAAAATAGAATGTACAGAAATGAGGTAAGCGCTAATGGTAAGTGGTATGATGTGGGTTCATGTTTACGTACAGAAAAAATAATTAAAGCCTGAAATCTTCAACATGTGAAATAGTTTATTATTTTTTTTTTAATTTATCATCGGTCTCTGTTCCGCAATCGAGTGTCGATTGTCAATTGGAAATTAATCACTGATGGCAATCGAGTTCCAGGGAAGCAACTTCCACACCTGGAACCTATCGATCCAATCAACATAATGGTCGGGACCAACGGCTTACTTCCCTTCCGAAGAAAAACGGGACCAGAGATTGTTTCGCCTCAGAAAAAATCCCAACGACATCGGCTGGGATTGAACCCAGGCACACTAGGGTTAGAAAGTAGTCACGCTTACCACTAAACCACAGGCGCCGCCGTGAAATGGTTTCGAGAACTCTTTTGCATTTGCCGAGAAATTTGGGAATATCTCTATTCATTCTATTTCAAGGGATTCTAGCAGATTGTTTAAAAATTTCTTAACATCATGCAAGACGAATAAAGAAAGAAGCCTGCGAGAAACTACCGTATTGTGCCTTGGTGAGATGCCAGAATTTAATATGGACATCTACACAAAGGAATTGTTCCAAGAATTCCAGGATTCTACGGACTTGGCTGTGAATAGATATATTTTATTTTTAATTTGTATGTAGTAAGGACCAAGCATTCCATTTTTTTAAACTAATTACTTCGATCTGGATCATGATTATATCCAATATGAAGCATCTTTAAAAATTGACTCTTATGGTATATTTTCGGAAATTGCTACTTGAGCCGGAGGTTGACTGCAATTATTGCATAGTTTTTTTTCTTCAAAGTAATGTACTGATGAGCCAATAGGCCGAATACAACTGCACTAAACTCTAAATTTACGCAGGGGATACGCAGCGCTCTAAAATAAATCGCGTACACCCAACCCTTTTTTTACGCGGTCTTATTTTTTTCCCGATGTTCGATGAACAGATAAAACTCGGTTTTCCGAAGGAAGAAGCGTCAGCAGGAAGACCGAGATCGCGAGGCGTTGGAAAATCTGTACCGCGTAAACGACACATGGAATTTCTACAAGAAGCTAAATAGTTCGCGCAAAGGCTACGTGCCGCAAGCCGATATGTGCAAGCAACTTGGACGGTAACCTTCTCACGAACGAGTGTGAGATGATGGAGAGGATGGAAGCAGTACTATGACGAGCACCTCAACGGTGATGCAGCAGAAAACGAAGGTGGCACGGCAACAGACCTTGGAGCACGCGCAGAAGACGACAGGCTACCGGCCTCTGATCTTCAAGAAGTTGAGGAGGAGATCGGTCTGCTGAAGAACAACAAAGCAACTGGTGTAGATCAACTACCAAGTGAGCTATTAAAATACAGTGGTGAAGCACTGGCTAGAGCGCTGCACTGGGTAATTGTCAAAATTTGGGAGGAGGAGATATTACCGGAGGAGTGGATGGCCAATCTACAAAAAGGGCGACAAGTTGGATTGCTGCAACTAAATACCGCGCGATCACACTGCTGAGCGCCGCCTACACGGTACTCTCCCAAATTCTATGCCGCCGCCTGTCACCATTTGCAAGAGAGTTCGTGGGGCAATACCAGGCGACTCGACAGGTTCTGCAGAAATGCCGCGAATACAACGTGCCCACACATCATTTGTTCATCGATTTCAAATCCGCATACGACACAATCGATCGAGATCAGCTATGGCAGATTATGCACGAGTACGGATTTCCAGATAAACTGACGCAATCGATCATGGCGACGATGGATCGAGTGATGTGCGTTGTTCGAGTATAGGGGACACTCTCGAGTCCCTTTGAATCTCGAAGGGGGTTACGGCAAGGTGATGGACTTTCGTGTCTGCTATTCAACATCACGTTAGAAGGTGTGATCAGAAGAGCTGGGATAGATACGAGTGGCACGAAAGTCCATCCAGCTTCTTGGCTTCGCCGATGACATTGACATTATGGCACGGAACTTTGAGACGATGGCGGAAACGTACATCAGACTGAAGGCTGAAGCTAGGCGGATTGGACTTGCCATCAATGCATCAAAGACAAAATACATGAAAGGAAGAGGTTCTAGGGAAGACAATGTTAGCCTCCCACCCCGAGGTGGTCGATGATTTCGTGTATTTGGGCTCACTGGTGACCGCCGAAAATGATACCAGCAGAGAAATTCAAAGACGCATTATGGCAGGGAATCGTGCCTACTTTGGACTCCGGAGGACGCTCCGGTCGAAGTTGACTGTCTACAAGACGCTGATTATACCGGTGGTCCTCTACAGCCACGAGACCTGGAGCCTTGGTGTTTTCGAACGGAAGGTGTTGCGTACCATCTACGGTGGAGTGCAGATGGATTACGAAACGTGGAGGAGGCGAATGAACCACGAATTGCACCAGCTGCTGGGAGAATCATTCATCGTCCACATCGCAAAAATTGGGTGACTACGGTGGGCTGGGTACGTCGTAAGTATGCCGCACGACGACCCAGTGAAAATGGTTCTAGAAAGCGACCCAACAGAAATAAGAAGAAAAGTAGCGCAGCGGGCAAGGTGGATCGCAGATTACGAGGCTGGCGAACTGTGGCCATGGATCGAGTAGAGTGGAGACGACTTCTTCGGACAGCAGAGGACAACAAGGCCTTAGCCAGTGTACACAATAATGACTATAAAAGACTCGATATTTTAGGCCGTATGAATAAAAAGAGTTTACTTTACTTTCCCGTGCTTTTCTTACGGGAAAATTAAAGTAAACGCTTTTATTCATACGACCTATTAACTACAAAGTAAGCATTTTCTAGAGAGACTGGAACTACCCATTAAATGAGTAAAAAAATTACTTATTTATGAGTATTTGTTACTCACATATGAATACTGTTGTCCACATGAAATATCTAAAAAAACTATACATTCTTGCATTTCTAATTCGAGTCAAAAAGCGAGCAGAAGGTTCCCCAAATTCAAACAATTTTTCAACTGCCGTGAACGTATGCATCATAGTTGTTAGTGGTTCGTTGTAACCGAATGCTGTTCGATGGTATCGTGGTTGGCGTAGGGTACCACTTCGTAATGTTCTCGGCGGCACTCGGATATCTAACAGCGAAAGAAGACTCACGTAAACAAACATCCCCATTTAATAACTTGGCAACAAATGCTGCCTGTTTATTCTTCCGTCGACGTTCTAAGGTTTCCAAACTCGACAAACTACAGCGATCAGAATACGGTGGGAGATTTTGCGGATCACGCCACGGTAGGTTACGCATTCTGATAAACTTTCGCTGAACACCTTCGATCCTCAAATTCCAAGTCAACTGATGACCAAGGAGTTGTTTTCCAGGATAGGTCGAACAAGGGAGCAATAAAGAGCTTTCAAGCAGTGTGGGTCAGAGAAGTCTTTTGATATTTTTGACACGAATCCTAACTGACGGTTAGTCTTGGTGATCACAGCAGTACGATGGAGGTTAAACGTTAATTTATGATCTAGTAGAACGCCTAGATCGCTGAACTGGTCGATTCTTTTCAGTATAACACCGTTGATGGCATAATCGAAAATAATCTGCTGCTTGATGCGGTAAAACGACATTACCATGCATTTCGGTATGCTCACGGTAAGCCTATTCCGATTGCACCAACCAACGAATAGATCTAATAGCGATTGGAGACGAATACAATCCTCAGTACATCGCACCACGAAATACAGCTTTAGGTCAGCGGCATACACAAGCCTGCAACCATCTCAAAGTTCAAGCAATACGTCGTTGAAGAAAAAGAAGCAACAGCGAGCCAAGATTGCTACCCTGTGGTACGCCAGACGAGCTCGTAAAATACGAGGAAGTACTCGAATCAAGTTTAACCCGCAAGTCAGGTACGAGCAAAATCACGATGCCAACCGATCTGATGTGCCGAGTTTGGATAGCTTACCCAACAGAATATCATGGTTGATCGTATCAAACGCTGCTTTTAGGTCCGTATAGATGACGTCTACTTGCGCCCCATTCTCCAGTTGTTCAAAACAGATCGTGGTAAAATCCAGGAGATTTGTTATAACCGAACGTCCATCATGAAGCCATGTTGGTCACAGGAGATGTAACATTTGGTACGTTCTAGAATTACTCCACTCAAATTTATCTCAAACAGTTTTGAGGCAGCTTAAAGGTTGGTGATTCCTCTGTAGTTTTTAACATCACGTTTGTCTCCTTTCTTGTATACTGGAACCATAAATGACTCCTTCCAGGAAGAAGCAAATTTCGACTCCAAAAACAATGTATTAAAGATTCTGCAAAGTGGCTCAACAAGAGCTTAAATAGCTCGGCAATAAACTATAGGAGGAATGCCGTCTGGTCCAGGCGTGAAGGTGCTTCGCGGCATTAGTTAGTTATGGCCAAAAATCGGGTTTGTGGTTATGCGGTACCACAGCTGCGACACCCATCGCTCGAAATGAGGGTTCGATTTCACCTCGGGGCACTTTTGCAAAAGTCAGCCCTCTCCCCGTAATAATTTTCAAAGCCGAAGTCCAAAATACTTGAGCAAATTTTAAAACACTGCAGTGAAGTTCTCCCGAAACAAACGAAGAAAATAAAAACTGGTACTATTTAGTAGGAAAACCTTTATTCCTTAAATTGAGATACACGATATGGGCCCATGCATTAATTATGTCACGATAAATCGAGGAGAAATTTACCCCCCCCCCCCCTATCGTGACGTTTTTCCTATACCTAATGCATTGCTTGTCACAAAATCTTAGATTCCCCCTCCTTAGAGCGTGATTTAATTTATGCATCAACTCTAAGGTTTGCGTTGCGTCGATAATGATTTATTAGTGTTAAAGCTGGAGCGTGCCAACCGAATCTTTTCTTCACTAGCTGATTTTGATCAGAATTTTCAACTTAGTGGGAGAGGGAAACTTCCCCCCCCCCCACTAATAATTTTCAAAGTCGGTGTACCTATTCCAGTACAGCCTAGCATATCAGTATATCTGGAGATTACTACAACAGATAGAATCCCAAGTCGACCACATTTTGATTGATGGAAGATACTTTTCGGATATCATCAACGTCAAGATCTATCGTGGGTCAAACATCGATCTAAACCAGTACTTTGTGATAGTAAAAGTGCGTCATAGACTTCCCGTTGACAAAAACAATCGGTACCGACGCCCGCGACGCCCGCCACGGTACAATCTGGATCGACTCAAACTACTCGAAGCTGCAATTGATTTCGCGTAAAACCTTTAAAGCAGCGTTGATGGATGAGGAAGTCCGATTGAAGACTCACTTGAGGACTGCTGAAATAGTGTTGAAGCGGCCATGAATAGCGCAGAAGAAGGTGCCATTGCAACAGGTGTAGCAAGGGACTCGTCAAAATGTGGAACGATACAAACAGAAGCGGAGACAGCAAACTCATCGCAAAGAAGCGCTACCTGGTAGAGGTAGCGTGCGAAGCAATGAAGCAGTTGTATCGATCTCCAGGACACACGTTGAAAAGAAATGTGTTGTGATAATGATGGAGGATGGAGGACGGATGAACGTAAGGTGATTGAAAGGTGGAAGCAGCACTACGATGAACACCTGAATTTCGTTGAGTCAGAGAAACAAGACAGTAGGATGAATGAGTCAATCGATACGATGGATGAGCGGCATGAAGTAGTTTGCCTCCTCGTGGTGTGCCCTGAAAACGTTAATTATCGAACCCAAGGGAGAGATATTGCGGCTAAACAAACTACAGCAGAGTAAGGACGCTGGATCCCCATCCAGCTCGTCCCAGGAGGTCGATAAGCCCTGCACAAACCCGCGTTGTGCAAAGGCAGGAGTGACACCGGGTTCTTAGAGTGTAGAAGACTCTGACCAAGTCGCAGCACACGCAGCTGGTAAGCGGTCACATCTGTCCTGTCCTGCTGTGGACAGTTGGCTGGCTATCACGTCAGCGAACAATAAGAGGAAGGCCCTACACAGCTGCTCACTGTGCAATAGCGAGTGTCAAGTCTGTGACACACCACTAGTTTGATGCGCCATAGCGCAACCGGCCCGCTCCCATGATGTAATGCTGTCAGGCGGTTCCGGGGAGGGCAAGGGCCAAGAGGGTAAGGTTTAGTGGGTCGGGAGCGCTACTTCTCCCATCCCCACACCCTGAGTTATCTTCGCATCTGGGAGCAGATTCCCCCCTGAAAAAAAATATGATGGATGAGGGAGACTTGCCAACTCCCTTGATAATTGAAGCTAAGGATTGTTTGATCGACGTTTAAAAAATGTCACGTGCATTAACTTGAAACACTGTGAAGTTTGTTATTGTTATTCATTCATATTATTGCATTCAAACTCACGAGTTTAGAAAGGCTTAAAGATTTCGCTAAAAACGCTTTTATGTCTTGATTTCAGTGTGAAATGAAAATAATTTCAAATTTATTTATTTTAACACTTAGGCGATCAACCATTTGGTGGATGGTTGGTATTGATTAACCCTGCTATGCGAGCGTGATTATTTCTGACAGACAAAAAGTTAAATTTTGACAACCGTGGCTGAGTTCTGCTCGAAAACCGATCGATCGGTAACACAGGGATTTTCGAACATAAGAAATAACTTTCGAAATGTCACTTTTAACCACGAGTTAAATTAAACTCGGCAAATGGCTCACAGATTTAGTACTACGTTCGAATGCCCCTCACCAATTTTGACAACGAAATGTCAAACTAAATGTGACGTCTATTTTTGACGTATAACTGCTTTTTAACTAGGCTAAAGCCCAGTTAAGGCTCTGAACCATTTGGCGATTTTTTTAACTCTTGGTTAAAATTTGACGATGGAAAGTTATCGATTAACCCTGCTATCCGAGCATGGTTATTTCTGACAGACAAGAAGTTAAACTTTGACGACCGTGGCTCGAAAACCGGTCGATCGACAGCACGGGGATTTTCAAACATAAGAAATAACTTTCGAAATGTCATTTTTAACCACGAGTTAAATTTAACTCGGCAAATGGTTCACAACCTAAGTGACCAGTTGGAAAGTGAGAACTACCGAGCGGTTATTTTACTTATCGCGGTCTACAAAGTGTATTCTCGGCTTTGTTCGAAGGGAGCGACTCTATCTAAGATGCAGAAATAATTTTGCCTTGCTGTTGTGAGATGCGGGCACACTTATTAGATAGAAGGAAAAAAGATTTTTCGATTGTTTCACTATCGTGAGATTTTTTTGATGATCTTAAACTGTGATTTAGATGACACTCCACGGTTTTGTGGGTGGACGATCGATTACAGACCAAATCTAGAGTCTGTATACGAGTCACGTCATGAGAAAAGTGGTGGAGTTTGCATAACGGTATTCCAAAGATTCCCTTCCCTATCACTTGGCAACAGAGAACTTCTGCATCAACTTCAAATGACTTCTAACAAATTTGCGGCTGTAGTAAATCATTTTATCAGTAATTTTATCGAATTTTCATAGTAACAAATATTACAAACTTTCATTACTGATCATTACCAAATCTATCCCATGACAATGTAAAGCTCACTGCGTGTTTATGATCATTTCTTCGATTATAATTTATATTTTATTGTAATACCTTTCGTGGAACTTAAACGATATATCGTGCAAAATAAGCAAACTTTACGATGCTATGTAAGGTCAAGGACACGGGATATACTACAATAGATCAATTTACTAGTCGCAGTAGTGTTAGGTCCCGAACAGAAGAAAAAAAAGTGCCGGATTGACCGTTCAATAGGTAGACTTGGCTACACTCTAATTGTGACTCTTATACACAGACTATATTCATACAACATACAATTTCAGCTGCAGAATATTTTGTTCCTTGCCTTAAGGAATATTGCTATTTCTACTGAAATCACGTATGAAACATCGAAGCCCTACGATTATGAACATGAATACTGGGAAACTTCAGTTGAGCTGTTCTACCCATAATCGCATAACAGTTCCATATGGATACACGGTAAGAAAAAAGTACCCAAAATTGAGTTCATTTCACTCATCACGTGGCTTCCGTGGGGCTAGGTAAAATTAAGTTAAAGAAGAAAACTCAATTTTGAGTAATCCTGGCGTTGACCAAGTTGACAAAAAATAATAAAACGGAGCAGACTGGAACCGAACCATGGACGTTGAGATTACGGGGCCAGTGAGTTGACCACTCGTCTATCAACGCTTGTGAAAATGAAATGGTTAAAGGCGCATAAAAGCAACTTCAATGAAAATAAACTTATATTTGAGTTTATTTATTATTACTCAATAGTTGAGTAAATTTTAACCAACGCCGCTTTTCTGATTTACTCAACGGCGGACCTCAAATGATAGAACCCAACGTTGAGTTTTTTTTAACTTAATTTTGAGTATTTTTTCTTACCGTGTAGGAAATCAAGCAACGGTGGGACTGATATGCGATTATGGGCAGTGATCTACTTGTGTTCTATTACAGAAATAAAAATAAAAACCGAACAATTTGTGGCATTTAATCAAAATTTCTAATGAAATGTTGGATTTCTGACTCATGCATTGTTAGTCATTTATGTAATGTGGTGAAAAAAGACCCGAAAACCTGAAGGTGCAAAAAAAGTTCAAAAGAAAACAGAAATACCTTCGCATAGCTTCAATCTAGGATGCGATTCATTCTTATTGTTAATAATATGGTATTCTTTGTTGCTGTTATCGAAACAATGGCCCGAGGTGAGAAGGCTGCTGCTGCTGATGCTGGAAATTGCTGAACTGCTATTATTGTCGCTGGCTTTAGAGGAAGCTGCTGAACTGCTGGTCGCCGTTCTGAACATTGACGAAAAGGGCGGTTGGCTTCTGCTGGAGGATGTCTTCGTACTGTTTGCATCAACATGCTGTTAGTTTTCCGGTTGGGTTAGAATGATCAAATTAAGTTGTATTAATAAAAAAAACATAAAACAAATCAAACAACTGAATGTCTTTTCATACATGAGAGCTGTTAGATTTTAAAACGATGTGTTATTGAATAATGATGGAATTATAAATCCAAAGAATAGAAACTCAAAACACATTTTCACCGCGTAAGAACCTTATACCTACCGATCTTTGAATGGTGGCCTTGGGCGTCGAGCTACTCGAAGAGACAGCGTCACTCGAGTCTCCCGATACAAAGTGTGCCCTGAGCTGTTTGTTTCTATAATTGTGATGGTAATTGCAAAAGAGTTGATAATTACTAAAATAGAACTCGTCTGATTATTATCTCTCATTATGCGTTACCTAACATCGAGCTGCTGAATGTGCTGCTGCGAATACTTAAGCTGTTGCGAAGTAATTCTCAGTTTTTCTTCGAGTGAGGCCGTTTCCACACACTTCATCGAGTACTTTTCCGAAAGGGACAAAATTTCCTGTCGGACCTCTTCCAGCTCTTGTCTGCAATTAAACCTTACATAAGTTTTCAAAACTTTATGAACTCACTCCTATTACATACTCTTTCTCCTTGTATGTCAGCGGGGATTGACCACCTTTCTGAAATTGCTTCAAGAACTCCTGCTTGAATCGTGCGACTTCTCGCTGGACCTCATTTTGATGAGCCTTACGCATTGCGTCTAGTGCTGCCAAAGTTGCCTGAGATATCATTAAAATAAAATGTTAAAAAGCATTCATTTGGGATAACATAATTTTACCATACCTGAGTTTCTTCGGCAAGTGCTTGCTCCTTTTCCACTATCAGCTGCGCTATCTCATGTTGGTGCTTCTCTTCCAGATCGTGTATTATACGCTTATGGGATGCTTCCATTGCTGCAAGTCCTTTTTCACACAGGGCCTGCAAAAAAAAGCGAGATCGTCTCCTAATCGTTCGTTGAAATTATCTACTCACCCTAAGCTGCTCAATCTCGGCCTGGTACTTTTGACGCAAACTGTCTTCGTCATCTTTGTCCTTTTGCGAATCGATTTCGTTCGCCACCTGCTGCTCTCGGTAGGCTGCGTGCAGATTGTCCACCTGTTGAGCATGTTCAGCTTCGAGCATTTCCAAGTGCTTTTCCAACTTCTTCACGTGATCTTTCTCCTTTCTTATTTGCTCGAATAGATAATCACGTTCCTTCTCCAGTTCGGCGTACTCTTCAGAATTCTTCTGGAAGTTTTGAGACAATTCTTCATACTTGTCTCGTAGTGCCTTGGACTTTTTTCGTTCCTCGTCGTAACTATCCAGCAACTCTTCAATTTCTTTATCCTTCTCATGGCACATTGTTTCGTATTCACGAAGCTTGGCGTTGAGTTCGCTGAACTCCTTTTCACGCAGCTTCAGGACATTTTTCTCATTCCTCAACTTCTCCTGAATTTCTGTTTTCTCGCTCTCGATGTTCTTGATAAGCTGCTTCTGTTCGTCTATTTTCTTAGTTAACTGACTGACCTCTTCCTCATTCTGTTGTTTCAAACTAGCAATGTCGGTTTCATGCCGATCAGTCATTTGATGCAGCGTATCTTGCAGCCTGTCGCACTCATAACATTGAGCTTGAACCGATTTGGCCGTATCGATCAACGAGTCGATTCTTTTCTGTATCTCCACGCACCTTGCGTGAATGCTACGCAGACTATCGACGTCTACCGTGCTTGCGATCAGCACGTCATCAGGAACCATTGTGTTCTGTAGCGACACCACGGATCGTTCCAGTTCATTTAGGATGGCTGATATTTCTTTGATATCGGTCTTGTTGGTCAGGTGTTCGTTGACAAAGTATTTATACATGAAGTTAAAATCAGCCTCAGCAAGGATGTCGTCCGAGTTGGCAATTTCCAGGTCAGCGGTGAGATCGGTGTACAGATTTTCGTATTTCTTCAGAGCAACTACGCTAAAGTTATTGCTGTCCTCGTTGATCAGTTTGATTTTGGCAGGGACATAGTCTCCTTTTAGGATTTGAACACGGGCATCGATCAGAGCTTTGTGTGCTATGATGTCGGCAAACTCTGCCAACAACTGTCGACCTTCGCTTGGTTTCCGTTCCTGCTCCAGGTGAAGCCTCCACTGACCACGCTTCATTTTTGCTAGGCTTTCCTCGTAGCATTCGGTCAACTGCGTCACTGCAAGTTCCATTTCTCTACGTAGAACATCTTGGACGGCATCAGCAAAGTTTTCGAACGTTATTCGTTCATCGGTGGACAATGCATAGCCGAAGGCAGGTGTTAGTGAATTTTCATAACGCTGAGCACTTCGCATCATAATGTGTGCGATTTCAGACTGCACCAGCTCAGCGTTCACTGCTTCCTGTGCTTGTCGCCATGCTTCCTGTACGGCACCTTGAATCGTTTCATTTGAAGAAGAAATGTAACTCAACGTTTCGGCTGCTAAACCGTACGCTAGGTTTTCCATCACCGTCGTCTTGTACCGCTTAGCGACCATATGAACTTCGTTCTGCTGTCGAAGCAGATCGTCTAACAAATTGGTGTTGATTGACGGGAAATTTAGTGACCTTATGCTACTGGTGCGGCCAGCTGACAGTATGAGTTTCCGAGCCAACACGCTTGCAAGTACGTCCATACTACTGTTTAGTTTGATGCCACATTTGCCGGCGAGTTTAGCCTTGAGCATTGCCATCAACTGTATTGTTTCGGAGACTTCGACTTTGGTTTGTTTTTCTTCGTTTTCCTTCATGTTTTCCACTCGTTCCAGCGCATTTCTCATTCGACCGAAGCAAACGCTTTCAAACGCGATGCGTTCGGCTAGCAATTCCATATCTTTCTTTTGCGTTAGTCCGTTTGTTTCACGAAGCATCCGTCGTTGCTTCAATAGATCGCTGAGCTTATTTTTTAGCTGCCCTTCCATTTGTGTGAATGCCAGCTTGATAGGATTGGTTTCCGGCAACAGTACAATGTTGTTGTTCAACGAGCAATCCTGTATGACGCAGTGCTCACAGCTGTCTCGCAGCAGTCTGGAGACCTCCGATAAGCATCTCTCAACAAATTTAAACGAATCCTTCTTGTCAGCAATGGGAGAAACGGATCGCCGCGATCGCGAGGATCGCAGATTTTGGAACTGACGCATACTTTGATCGACAAGTTCGCGAACAGAGATGACAACACCTTCCAAACTCTTCAGCCGATCCATCAAATGCTCGGAAACCTTTGGACTAGCGCTAGGGGTAATTTTGTTAAAACCGACACTGTTAATGCTACTCGTACTTTCAGTGCTGCTTATCATTCCAGCGGTGTTTACGCTTTCACTAGATCCAGGAATAGCTAGCAGATCACCTGCAGTCGCTTTAACTGTGTCAACTCGTTTTTCTAAATTGTTCAGCCTCAACAAAACCTGCATCGGTTGCGAAGAAATGGATGCGCTGTCCAAACTTTTCCTCCGTAACCGAGTTGATGCTCGTTTTACATTCTTTAATTCGGAAGATTCGCCTTGCGTGACAGCTGCTTCCGCTATCACTGCTCCCTGCTCCAAGGCGTCTATCTTGTGCTCCAGCTCCGTAACCTTTTCTTCCAATTCTTTTTGAATCGTCAATGATTCTTTTCCCTTCAGCGATAGAGACCTTCGTTTTTCGTTCCGAACTAATTTTTGCCTCAGTAGTCTAACCTGCTTCTCGGCGTTCGTATATTTATTAGTCATATCTTGAATCCTATCGGCCATCATCTTCGACTGAGATTCGTGTTCTTTCTGCTGGCGATCTATTTCCCTTTTCAAAGTGGTGTAGGATATTTCCAGATCATCACAAATCTTATGGGATTCCTTCAGTTCACGCTTCATTGCTTTCAGCTCACTGACAGCTTTCTCGAAACGTGCTCTCAGTTCGTGATACTCATCAGCTAGCATATCCTTGTCCAATGTACTCGGATCAACCTCATTTAGACTAGTCAAATCACTGAACGAATCCATCCGCCGCATTTTACCCGTTTTCGTATTCAAACTGCATAAGCTGGACGCGGGACTAGAAATGCCAAAGTCTCTGATTTTCTTGTATAGGCATTCGTTTTCTTCGATCCCACGTGCCAACCGGTCTTCCAAATCTTTGACTGTGTCCCGACTTTTATCCAGCTCTACAGTAATCCTGTCGATGATCTCCTGAGCACTGCTTCTGCTCTCATCAAGTTGCGACATCAGCCTTTCTCGATTTTCCTCACTTTCCCGCTTCCGTGTTAGTTCTTGCTCAGTCCGTTCTAGGGAGGTCAGCAGTTCCGACATCCTTGCTTCTCGCTCGTGGGTTTCCTCGCGGAGAATGGAGAGTTCCTTCTCAGCGGCTTGTAACCGTAGTTGAAGTTCTTTGTCGATGCAAACCTCTTCCTGAACGGGGTTGATGAGTGGGAGGTCTTCGGATTGAACGCTTTCGATTGTACTGCGCCGTGACGACGGTGGTGACGATCGGCTGCGTTTGTGTAACCGATTGTGGGATGTTCTTAATCTATCTTTGGTTCTAGCTAACGCTGAAAGTGGCACTGGCGGAGTAGGAGACAATGGTGAGCCCCAGTCACCGACACTGTCTCTCCGGCCTCCTTCGGATGCAGTGCGGTACTCCTCGTCGGAGGAGAAAAGTAACGATTTGGGCGTTATTGGCGTTACCGGAGTCGTGACCGTAGTCGTACTGGAAGACTTTTGAGGCAGGTTGTTGTTCAGAACATCGCTGGTGCTACTGGATTTGATGAGATGTACTACCACGTCTTGACTTTTTTGTGTGGGCTTGCAATCTACCTCATCCTCTCCCCGGTTGGCTTCTACACTGATGCGGCTACTGATCGTACCGGTGTTCAGACTACCAATTTTGTCCTGTATCTGGCTACCGTCTATGATTTCTATTTCTAACGGGAGTTTATCGGTTAACGTTTTGAAGTTTTCATCGTTCTGATTGTTCAGTCCTAGGTTGTTATTATTTAGTGTTACTTTGGTCTGAGGTAATCCGGCTGCGTTTTTGAGCACGTTGATCCAGTTGTTCCTGTTGCCGATGGTAACCGTGGACAGCACGATGCGTCGGTTATCCCACGTCTTAAAGTAGATAGGAATTAATTAGTTAAAAATGATAAACACGATAGGCGAAGAGGACCCAAAAAACGTTTTGTCATGCCCATTAAAGTTGTTTCTGTAGTTAATATATAAACGAACATCTCAACCCAACTATCAATTTATCTGCAGTATAACAGCTTATACAGGCAAAAATCAGTATATACAGTTAATGTTTTCCTGTATAAGTTGTTATACTGGGGATATAATGGTGAAAAATCGTATGCAATACACAAAAACTGCTTATACATTCAAATATGGAGGTCATATAGGGTAGAGAACTACTTCGTCAATTATGCGTTTGGTACGATACTTTAGTTAATAAGCTACCGAACGAAGTCAATGAGAACGCGTGATATGAAGGTTTGCACCCGTTATTCCCAAAAACAAAAGAAGCGCTCCGACCGAATCAATTTTTATCTTCATCCAATGGCGTTTCAATGCGTTAGGCCGAGTTTGGTGTCAAGAAGCAGTTTTAGACTTTTGACAATATCTCAACAATTAGTTTCTCTTTATCAAATCTTACGGTACGTACGGAAAGGTAAATAAATTTGAAAGTCATCAGTAATAATAACATTCCGTTTGGTGCTAAACTGAGCTAGATTAAGAAAGACTAAGTGCGGGTTGTGCTTAATAGGCCGGAAATGGGGTAGTTAACCCTACTTACATTTTCAAATTAACTCAATGAAAGAATTAATTTGACATCATATAGGTACAATCTAATCTGTAATATCAAACTCAGTCAGGCATGGCAAATCATTTACATTCATTTCGTGCATTCATTTACATTCATTTGCCTTGAACTTTTTTCATCAACAGAATTCCGGAAAATGATGTTTCAAACTTTCATAGGTTTTAATATTAGCTACAACTTTTGCCAACAATTCAAATCTGTATCTCTTATGCACGATGAACCAAAGCGAACAGAACCGACCATTGTTTTTCAGTGAATGTAAATTACATTCACTGAAAACTAATATCAAGTTCTGTCCGCTCTAGTTCGTCATGCATAAGAGGCACAGATTTGAGTTGTTGGCAAAAGTTGTAGCTAATATTAAAACCTATAAAAGTTTGAAACATCATTTTCCGCAATTCTGTTGATGAAACAAGTTCAAAGCAAATGACTGTAAATGAATGCACGAAATGAATGTAAATGATTTGCCATGCCTGAACTCAGTTTTACAAACCTTACGATTTTATCCGATTTAGTTTGTACAATTTGAATGATGCAAAAATGATTGATCGTATATGAGTTGGAAATATGGATTACATACAGTTATATCTGAAATTCATTCTCATGTGTGTTTTTGACTTAATGTGTACTTCTTAACGATTATATCTGTGCATTGGAGAGTCCAAAAAAATCCCAGAATTTAACTTGCTTGCTGCTAGAATGGTAGATTATTCTGTTAGAAACAATAGCATCCACAATATGTACATGAAATCTCTCTAAAAAAATGTTGCACCCTTCGATTTTATAAAAAAAAAACCATGCTGAATAATTGCCGGAGATGAATCAGTTGATACCAGATGAAGTGTAACAAAATAAACGAAATAGATTAGCTAAATATTGTAGTTTGAGGACCCAGTAGTAGTTTCATGACCGAAAGAGCACAATATTTTAACTAAAATTGCATAAATGCTCTACAAAGGGGCCTATCAATTTTTTTCCGTTATTGCAAATTGACTATGCTTGTAGAAAATTTAATGTAGATAGATTATTCTTGCTGATGGGAATTCTGGGAAATTTTAAATTATTTCAAGAATTTTGAGCCAGTGGTGCCGGTAGTGTAGTGGTAAGCGTGATTACCTCCCACCCTAGCAGGCCTGGGTTCAATCCCAGTCGGCGCCACCGGGATGTTCCGAGGCATAACATTTCTGATCACGCCGTTGGGAAGTAAAGCCGTTGGCCCCCGGTTCATGAGTTGATGGGTCGATAGGTAGGGTCCAGGTGTGGGAGCTGACTTCCTGGCGTCGGTAGCATTCTATGGCAAATGAGCAAATAACCTAACTCAATCTTCTCTGATTTGCATGAAACTTTGCACATGTCTTCGGTATGAGTGATCATGTATTTTTGACAGGTCAAGAGATCATGAGAGAATATCAGGGAGATTTTTTTTAAACTTTATTTAAGAGATTTTCAGCCTTAGGCTAGTTCATCTCTATATCAGGGAGATGTGATTTGAATTGTTGGACAGTATGAGATCTTCAGAATAGTACCTGATAAACCTGAAGTCTTGAAAAAGTATCCAGAGGACTATATGGAAATCTTAAAACACATAAAGGTCTTTGGTATAATTTGTGAGCTGCCTGGTATCATATGAGAGAATATACGAGAGATGTGATTGGTTGTTGGATGTTTTCAGAATGATACCTGATCAACCCGAAGTCTTGAAAGAGTATCTTGAGGTTATCATGGGGATCTATGATCACATGATGGGCTTCTTAATAATTTCTAAGCAATCAGGCATCATGAGAGCATCTAATAAACGTAATTTGAGTTTTTTTTATTGTTCTAGATCTTTAGAATAATACCCGATCAACCTGAAGTCTTGAAAATATATAAATCGGAATTCATGGAGATCTTAGGACACCTGAAGATCTTTGGAATAATTTCTGAGCAGTCTGGAATCATATGAGAGAGCTGTCATTCTGCTATTTATCTATGAATCAAAGTAGCGTATTTTTTCACCTGCCTCTTATCATACAAAACGGTTTTTTGGGTCTCCCTCTGTTTAGGATACGTTAGCTTACCGTCAACTGAAATCCGTAGTTCCTATTGACTGGCACTTCGGTGATACTGGTTATACTATTGACATCGAGCACTCCATCCATCACACCTTTCTCCTCGGCCACCGGGTCTCGGTAGTAGAATAGGGCGGCTCCTCGTAAAATAAACCAATGCTTGCTCCATTCACTGGACCGAGTGTCCTGCTTCATGAGCCAACCTTTCTTGGCATTGAGCAATTCTTCCGATGGTAAGCTGACCCGGAGTTCGGAATTTTTGGACAGATAGCTGGCTGGGGCATCGTCGAGGCCACAGTCCCCATCGGGATCGCCTCGTTCGTGAGTTTGACTAGGTTTCAACTTCGGACTAGAGGTTGTGTTGGTTTTCGACAGGTCTGACTTGGAGCTACTGATACCAGTAGGTATTTTCTTAACGATGGCAGAAACGATGGCCGGCGCAGTGGACGGAATTGTCAACGACTGGGGTCGCATTTGGCCAGTTGTCTTGGTACTGTACTGTGGAACCGTGTTCTCGTCCCGGTTGGGCTTCTCGTCCGGTACTGCCGTCAACGCGAGACTATCGGTGATGCATGGCGTACTCCAACGGTTCACATTCGTGATCGTATTGGCGATGTCTTTCAGCTTTTCCTCTCGTCGAACGTCGTCCAACAGATAGCATTTGGATGCTGTGGGATGGAAACAAGCGAATAAAGAATAAGAATTAAAGCCACTGTTGAAATAGTGATTATTTGCGCGATAAAACTAGAGAGTATTGAAAATTAACGCACTCTGGAATGAGTTGAGAATAGTCGCACAAGTCTTTTCTTCGTATGATCATCTCTTCCATCTTAACCTGCCAGCGAGCACATGAGAATGAGATATCCAACAGTCATAAACTTCATTTATAATTATAGTCATTTTCCCGCACGCACTCCGCGTGCAATCCACGACAATTCTCGGCTTCGGATGGCAATTAAGCATAAATATAAAGATTTGAAATCCGATATTATCTGCGATAGTGGACATACGGGCCATAAACAAATATTCTTAACTATACTAACGAGCTGATCTCGGAAGCCATAGCCGCAGCCAGGATGAAGGGGAAATGCGGAAGGATGCCAACTAGAGGATAAAATAGCCATGATAGGCTTTGAGTTTACTCTTGTTCAATTGCGATGTAGCTTTATGGTATCGTCGATCGCTATGTTCAGCAGTTTTATTAACTCCGTTCTCAAAGTCAGTCAAAAAATACTGCAAACACATCAATCCAGAGAGAGAAAGAGACACAGAGAGAGAGAGAGAGGGAGGTCAAAATAGTACCTACCACCGGTACAATAAAATGCATACGCTTGAAAACTAGTTACAGGTATGATAATAAAAATGTCCAGCAAGAAGATAAACACTTTCCAACATCCTCGGACCGACGACCGGCAATGCATTCGAATCGAATTATTATTACTGATTTTACGCTCGCTGCCGTATAATACAATTTATGCTATTGCCCCTCAGTGCATTTCCCCTAAGCCTATCATCCACTTTTCCTTATTATGATTGGGTGCAAAACGCGACGCAGGGTGCTCAAAAGATCACCACTTATGAACACCTTATGATCTTTTTAGCAGCGGCTTAGTCAGACAGCAGGTGGAAGGTTGTGGAAGGAGGGATTGTTCACTTAGGGAGAGCCACTTTAACCATTATCCTTTCCACACTCTGCATGTAGCCTTGGAGCACTAGGTGTTGTCCTCATGCCTGAATGGTGTCTGCTGCAACATTGTAACAGATCGCACCCAACATTCTCTAAATGATGTGATCCGACACAGATGGTACTAGAGCCGATCGTATTCGATTTAATCTTGTTGTTTTTGTATGATGCGGTAAAAGGACTGTAGAAACATTAGCTGTAGAGTGGCGTTTATGTTTTCAAACTATAAGTTTTTGTTAGTGTAGTTCTAAGAGAAGGAGGAGACAACTGGCTTCTTACTCTTTTATCTCTATTTCTATCTCTATCTCTATCTATATCTATATCTATCTTACGCACTTCAAATCGGCCAATCACGAGCTGGTTCACGTTTGACAGAAAACTGGTTCGTTTTCGCCCCCGTATTGTCTCCTCTTCCTCTTAGGTGTAGTTATAAACTGGAGCAGAAATTTATTTTATGCTGTCATTAATCAAAGGTCATTAATCAAAACCATTACTTAAGGAAAATAATTTTTCATACTCGTTATTACATTTAGTATATTAATATGGTCTTAGTACTTAGATGTATATTTTAAACTGAACTAGTCGATTTTATCAATTTTGAGGAGATTTTATCGCTGGGCATAATTTTAAATAAAATAATAATAATTATAAAAAAAATATAATAATTTTAATGTTCAGCCCAAGGCTGAAAATCTCTCTAATAAAGAAAAAAAAAAAAAAAAAAAATAATTTTAATAATTTAGATAATTTACCCCACGGAATGATATTATACCACTCCGGTGGCAGAAACGTCATCCACCACCATTTTGCTTGAAGCCAAAGTTATTGGTTCTTTGGCTCGATTATTTGTCAATCTAAGACAGCTGATGCAAACATTACGAAATTATGCTCCGTCCACATAGATGTATGATTTGTTGCGTATAAAAATGATCGTGATAAATTTTCAACAAGCCCGTACATGTAAGAATTATATATGTATTATAATATTAATTTTTAAATTAGGCAAGCTAATCATGAAAAATTCAAGTTTCATTAATGATTATTCACATAAGATTTTTTAACGCATACGTGTCGTCAATGCACATATAAACATAGCATAACAACTGTAGGCTACAGTGCTGACACCACCAATGGTGGTGGCTTCAGCAACCTTCCTTCTTGGCAGAGGATTGTATTATACGACTTCCGATTCTACGGCAGGCTATGATTTTGAAAAAAAAACAATGAAATCAAGCATAATTTGTCAAAATGGCATAGGTCGCAAAAATAAACAAATCGATGTTTTGCTTCGAACCGATTATAAAATACATGCTTTTCCTGCGTATTAATGAAAAACAAGGTTTAAAATTTAATGAATTATGGAAAATATATTTAATGAACGCCCTATGTGGTCTTCTTTCATTATTTTTAAAATGGTTTTGATACACCATTTTATTGTCAACACGACTTAACTGTCAATATTTGATGATCACACAAAAACTGCAGATACCTGCACAGTAAAACGTCATTTGTGCAAAAAAAAAAAAACAAAGCAATAATTTTCAATTAGCAGATGCGTCATGTTGTTGCTAAGAAGATACAAAATGGATTTAACGGGATTTAGCAACTACTATATTATGAATATTGTTTTAAATGCAGTCATCCAGCTTGATGAATCACAACAGTTTGCTTCTGCACATATTCCCAGTGCAACAGACAGTATTCTCAATTCTTTCCGAGTTACCGACGCATGTGAAAACCGATCTGTCAAATCGATGGATCATGCAGGGTGTATGTAACAATCAAGATGTGATACCGACTAAGCAATCAAGGTGTATATGAGTAGCAAACAAGAAAAAGGTGTATCATGTTGTTTTACCAAAAGTCATCCCTTTATCCAACTAATAGCAGAAACAGATTTAAAAAAAGCATTAACTTTTAAATAGGATTTAATAATCTCATATGTACATTAATATCCAATGTTTCTAATGTCATATAAAATGTTACATACGTCCTTTTGAAAATTTATGTTTGAAATAAAACTTGTGGCAGTTTTTTATTGTTGTTGAAAAATTTAAATCGGATGCCTTTGGGAGAACCCCTCATCATCCCTCTCCAACAGGGGAGTTTGGTAAAGGAGATGATCAACCTGACCTTTGACCTCGATTTCTACACTCTATATATAAATTTTACACTGCCGTACAGAGATGTCAGATTTATTTCTATGCAATTCAAATCTACGGATTTCTACGGATTTTTTTAGTCGGAGGTGATATTTTTTTTAGTTTACGTTCAATGATAAATCGATGAAAGAACTTTTGAAAAACTAGGGACAGCCCTTTGGGTTGTACGCAATGGTGACGTAGGACTACGTGGTCTTATATAATAAATGTTATTTGCAGGAATTTGTGTTTTGTGTTGGAATAGGAATTTGAGCGGAGTTCTCTCTGTTTATACTATAGTATGACTATGATTGCCCTGAAAAGAAGCCTTTGATATGAATTTTAGTTGGGACATGTTCAGAAACTTAACTCTTATGGCAAATCTTGGTGGCCGATGGTAGTACAGGCATGAATACCATGATACTGTTGCACCTGTAGTTTTTGGCATACTTTCACTGATTGCTTCCCGGGGATCCTTGGTCAGCCATAGCAAGATGTGCGCGTGAGGACTTCCACGGTGCTGAAATTCAATCGTGTCAACCAGCATACTGGATCATCATTGACCAGAGTTGCTCTTTGTAGTGCAGTCAATTCCTGGATAGGATCTGTTAAGTCATTGCCATTGTGTCCTTCTGACAATCGATGTAGGAGATTCAAAAAATGGGGCCACTTTGTCTCATTTGCACTGAGTGTGAGGAACATCGTAGGCTTTCCCAATTGTCGCATCATGGTGAACAAATTTCTCTTCCTTTGTTGCCAATTCTGTACTGAAATCGGTATTGATTTGAGGAAGGATAGATTTCGCTCAATGCACTGCTCGATGAATAAGGCGGTGCTTAAGGTAGACACGTGTAAAGTTTGCGGTCCCCGTGCACTTAAAAGTGAATTGCAAGCCTTCGGAAACTCTAAGGCGATGAACTTTCATTGTCATATACAACAAATGTTGTGGTTTGGCCACACGCCTGTCTTGACGACGAGTTTCACTGGATGCCATCATGAAATATGTCACCCGAACCCCTGACTTGAATTTCCGTACATGGCCGAGACATATGGCAGGCAAAGCTATCTCTTCACCGTGCTCGTCATAAATTAATGACAGAGGAACCCTGTTTTGCGTGGGAGCGATCTCCAGGCATTTGTCCCCATTCCAAAGGAGCGTTTCTTCGGTGCTCAAGCAGCAATTCTGTCTCATTATCCACGGCAATGGTTTCCAGGTCAATTTGAGGATCCACTGCAGGGGTTTCAAGACCATCTATGGCAATCTGATAAATTGTGATCCTGTAACGGTGGTACAGTGAGGTGCCATTTGATGAACACGTTAATGGCCTGATCATCATCGAGCTGACGGGGCGTCTCTCTTACACTACGCAAACGGTAGAACAACATTCGAGCAAAAAGAAGATTATCAAAAAACTATCATATGACATATGTTATTTCGTTCTAATTCCTCAATTTGGTGTAAATTAAACCATTCCTGATCAAAACTTTTTATTACTATGACATCGTTGCTTGTTATTTTCAGAATTCACACAAGCACACCATCAGCAGCTCTTATTATGAAAAAAATTAAAATACATACATTCGTGATGCCCTTGGGCGACAATAGGTCGTATGAATAAAAGCGTTTACTTTACTTTTACCGTGAGAAAAGCACGGGAAAGTAAAGTAAACTCTTTTTATTCATACGGCCCAGTGTCATATGACAGATAATTGAGCAAGAAAATGGTTGACAAGTTGCAGAGGTGTATTTTACTTTATGCTTCTTTCCCTTCAGAATCAGATTATGCTCTAGATGGTAAAATTCGATACTGAAGGGAGACGTACACTGAAGAGAAAAATCCGT